CGTAGATGTATTTTGCTATATTAATCCTGTATTTCATGTTGATTGATGCTATTGTAAACGATGTTTTATTAAATTTTATTTTTAACTTCTGTTGCTAATACATAGAAATTTCATTTGGTTTTTGTATATTAATCTTGTATCCAGCAGACTTCTTACATTGACTTGCTAACTGTAAAGACTTATATGTAGAATCTTTTGAGTTGCATTTTCTCCATAGACAATAGTGCTATCTGCATATAATGACAATTTATGTCTCTCTTTCCAATCTTTACATTTTTATTTCTTTTTATTGTACTTTCAGAACTTCCAGTACAGTACTAAGTAGAAGTAGCCATAATAGATAGCCTTATCTTATTTCTGAAATCAAGGATAGAACAAAATATCACTACTTCCAGTATTTCTTACCAGGTCAACTAACCTGTGTGGATTTATTTGGGAGTTTTGTTGTTCTTGTTTGGCTTTTGATTTTATTTTGAGACGGATCTTAATATGTAGCCTCGAACTCATTGTGTAGCCAAGGCCTTAAACTTGCAATCTTCCTGCCTCTGCCTTCCGAGTGCTGGGATTACAGGTGTGGACCACCATACCTGACATGTTTGCTTTTGACTATTCTAAACAGAAATAGTAGTGGTTGAGTTTGTCTTAGATCTTTTGTTTTAGTTTTTCATTTGGTCGTCTTCTCTGAATGCATAGTATTCTTAGAGGTTTTTATTTCCTGTGGAACATTGAGTCCTCATCTTTTCAGTGACGAGAGAATTACTGTGTGACTGTGACTGTGAAGATATTCTCGGGGTCTGCTTTGACTAAATACAAATGGGGCCTTCCTTTGGGTTTTTTCTTTTTTTCATCATTCACTATTAGTCTGAACTTTTGGTAGTTTGTCAAGTTGGTTGGTATTGGTTTTAAACATACTAAATACAACATACTTCAGCAATTGTTTTATTCATTGGTTCTCAACTGTAAGAATTTTGCACCCTAGGGAACATTTGGCAATGTCTAGAGACATTTTTGGTTATAACTGAGGTTGAAGGTGCTACTGGCATTTGATGGGCAAAGGCTAGAGTGGTGCTAAACTTCCTATAACATATAGAACAGCTTTCTATAAGGCATTTTCTGGCCCAAAGTGGTGACAGAGCTGAAGTTGAAAAGCCCTGATCTAGTTTAACTCCTTTATTTGAAACTGAGACCCATAAATGTGAAGAGGTTTGCTATTACCTATTTTCAGTAGCACAGATACTGTACATCCTACATTTATTAATAAAATAGTTAGCATTACTGTCAGACAGATACTGTGAGGAGGTCTGCATGCATAATCTCTGTTAACTCCCAGACAAGTAAATATAACTCCCCATGTTATAGTTTAGGATACTAAGGCACACAGAGATTCATCCGTTAACTGATTTATTCAATTACCATTTATGAGAGGTACCAGGCCTTTTCATTTTTTTAAATAAAAAATACCATGATGTGTAAAACTGATGGTCATTGTAGAGATTATATATTCTAGTGAGGAAGATGGACCAAACACAATTAGAGAGGATTATAAATTGTGGCAAACAATGTGAAGGAGAAAATAGAGGGGAGGAAATGGAGATTAAACATGAGAAGGAAGTTCACTTTATTCAAATAGGAAGATTGGAAATGGCTTCTTTGATAGACTAACATTTAAGCTGAGACCTGTCAAATGAGCAAAGAAAACTGTGTAAAAAGCATGGAGCCATTTGGGTGGAGGAAGCACAGAACACTGTGTGTGTGTCACATGTGACACATTGGACCAGCAGGTAGGAGTTGAGGGTTTTGTTTTGTTTAAGAAACAAGCAAACTGGTCATGACTGGAACACAGTCAACAGTAGGGAAGGTGACATGAAATGAGACTGGAGACATAGGCAGGGCAGGTGGAAGAAAATGAGCAAGGCCATATAGACTATATGAAGGACTTGGGTTTTATACTGTTTGCAGTGAGAATTTACTGAAAGATTTTAAGCAGGGAAGAGACATGGTCCCATCTGTGCTTTTATTATACTCCCTCTATTGCCTATACAATGGATTGGAATAATAGGGCAACAGTTGAAGGCTGTTGAGGAAGTTCGGGTAAGAGAGTATGACCTTTGAATTTTTGTTTTGGAATTAAAAATTACTGGATTTGCTAATGGATAGGGATGTGGGACTAGTGCAAGTAAGTGAGAAATGAACAATGACTACTAGATTTCTGGTTTGAGTAACTGGGTGAATTTATCGAGGTAGAAAAGATTGGGGGAAGGAATATTTTGGAGGAATAGGATGAGAGAGACTCACTAGTGTGATGCTGGACATATTGGAAGGTGTCTGACAGCTGCTTAAGCTGCAAGGTAATTTTATTTCCATCTTCAGTGGGAATGGTGACAAGTTGATCACTTCAGGTTACTTAGAAAGATTGCATAGTGTATTTGAAAAAGTGCCAGGTTGTCTCCAGGGTCCAACACTGTTTCTGGCTCTCCCTGGATGGTGCAATTGAGTTCAGCCAGCATCTCTGCATGGCCTCCTCATCTGTGCAGCAAACTGTGTTGGACTTGATGGGCCTTAAGTTTCCTTTCAGCAGGCTCTGAATTTAAATTATCCCTTCAGCTTTTCTCTCATTTCTCTGCCTGAGATTTTTCTATTTGTCTCTGCTTCCCAGCAGTCCTTTACCTAGAATTTACAGGCAAGAGATTTTGGTATCATGTCTTATTTTACTTTTTTCTTTGCTTACGGTATTCCTTTTAAAGATTAGATTTCCTGCTGGTGTGTTTTTTTCTGGTAATGAAAACAACCAAACCTTTGTTGTCTGTATAGTAAATATAAAACCACTCTAATCATTGGAGTATCCTTTTTTTTTTAGTTTTTTTGAGACAGAGTCTTGCTGTGTTGCCCAGGCTGGCCCTGAGGATTCTGTTTCAGCTGCCCAAGTGCTGGGATTACAGGCATGTACCACCATACTTGGCTCTGTTTGTTTTGGTTTTTTCCTTTTTTGGCAGTACTGAGGTTTGAACTCAGTTTAACACTTGCTAGGCAGACACTCTTACCACTTGAGCCATTATCTCCAGTCCTTTTTCTGTGTTGGGTATTTTTGAGATAGGGTCTTTCAAACTATTTGTTCAGGCTGACTTTGAGTCATGATCCTCCTGATCTCTGCCTCTTGAATAGCTAGGATTACAGACAGGAGCCACTGGTGCCCAACTGTTTTTGATATATTTAATAAATATTTATAAAAGTTCTTTAAATCTGCCTCCTAGAAAACATTTACCTCTCAGTCCATCCTAAATATGCTTCAGCTCTTTAAAGATCTATAGCCATGCTCTGCAGAGCAGAACAGTAGAGGCAGAAGTCACTTTCCTGAGAGATGCACATCTCTCCCAGCCTAGAGCAAAACCAGTTCCCACTTAGAGAAAAATAGAGGAACCCACAGGTTCAGCCCTTCCAGGGAAGGCACTAAAGTACTGCCTGGGAATTAAGTACACACATCAATCAAGCTGATAAGTCTCATCCCCAGTTAGTCTATAATAAAATATTAACAAAGCTAAATCAAATGAGTTTTTAGTTTAGCTATGTAAGTGGAAAGCAATTTTGAGGTCTGTTGCATAAAGAATTCCAGTTCCGTGGTAGAGAAGCAAATAAATGGAATTGGGGGTGGGGCAGAGGAAGGGGTAATGAATCATGGTCGCTCTCTCATTGCTATAAGCTGTGGTTCTTTAAGGCCAACAGAGGAGCTTTGCAGGTTTCCTAACACTTGATTTCAAGATGTGCTTTCAGAAATAAGCTTGTAATAACATCAGCGTGTAAAGTTGAAGGATCTGTCCTGTGCTGTGAGCAATTTGTAGTAACTAACAGTAAGGCCCTATAATAGTCCAGTATTGGTTTATACTTAATAAAATATTTAATCATAAATGTCTGAATTCTGCATCTCCCACAGGAAGTTATTTCCATACCCACTGACAAGAATAATTTAGCAGTTTCATAGTTGAATGCTTAATTACTCATAATTGTGAGGGAGAAGATGTGATGAATTCTTCCTCCATGGACATACTAAATATTTTAACTAAGTAGATTACTTAAAGTAAATTAAGCTAGTGAGGTCATTTATTACATTGGTTAAAAGCAGCTTATGAAATCTGTCCTGTCTCAGATTCCATTTGATAATAATCTGTACATAACTTCTGTGGGACTAATGGCTGCAATGTTAGGATGTGTGGCAGATTTTGAGGTTTAGGAGGTGAGGATTAAGTTTATGGAGATTTGTTACATTTTTGCCTGAGTCACTACGGAAGATCCACAGCCATATGTAGAGTTTGGTTATAAAGCTGATGAGAAAGCTCTTTGGACCTCTTGTTTGGTGTGAGAATATAGGTTGTTCTGTATTGGGACTTGACTGTAGGCTCTGCTCTAAATCATGGTGACCTTCAAGAAGATGGCCTGATTTGCAAACGGTCGAAAGTAGTGAAAAGGTAGTATAAACAGGTGAAATCCTAAGCAAAAGCTCAGTAAAATTCTCTGTTAAATTTCTGAAATAAAAAGAAACTTATATTTTGGAGTAGAGGAAACAGGAATCCTGTATTTCAGGCATGCCTTCGTGTGTCGCTGCAGTAGCAAGCGTGGTATTGTCAGGCTCTAGAGCCTCCTGCTTCCCATGAGGGAAGGTTAGAACAACTCGTCTCATTAACTTAAGCTTCTTCCCTCGAGTGCCTTATTTAGCTTTAGTTTTCTTAATTCTCTTTCCCTGTTGATTTGGGTAAAATATTTGAAACCACTAAAGGTAAAAGGTTGAAGCAATCCCAAATTTAATAATCTATCACCTTTCTTTAGTGGATCTGAGTGTAATTCCCAGCAGTTCATTGTAAATTCATTAGAAGACAGCAAGTCATTAAAAGTTAATAAGAAACTATTTGTTTCTGTGAGTGTGAATAAAACCACTGTGTAAGTCTGACATTTTTCCTAGGCATAAAAGCCTTATTTTTAGCCAATTTCTATTTTCTTGGTCTCTCTAGGTTACTCCTGGATGGGGCACCTCTGATAGCAATCCACAAAGCCAGGTATTACAAGAGGAAAGATGGCTTAGCTCTGGGGCCAGGACCATTTGTGACTGCTTTAGAGTATGCCACAGACACCAAAGCCATTGTAGTGGGCAAGCCAGAGAAGACATTCTTTTTGGAAGCATTACGGGACACTGGCTGTGCACCAGAGGAGGCGGTCATGATAGGAGATGTAAGTAGAAGAGTCCAGAAAGTGCCCTGAGCTCACCTGTCATGCCAGGCAGCCAGCTTCAAAGCCCTGCTTTAGGGAAGCATACTTTCTGTTACTCGTGATAATGATAGTAGTAAGTGGTATTCTCATGATAAAGATAGATACTCAGTGGTATTCTTCTAAACAACTAAAATTTTGATTCTGACATTTCTCCATAATAGGATGGCATAATAGGTTCAAAAGACCATTTATATTGTAAGCCAGTTGAATGCTTTGTATGTCTTTCTGAGGAAAACCCCTATACAAACCTAAATTTTTTTTATTACCTATGTAGCAAACAACCTATACCATTATTGAGGGTTTTTTTCTTAGTATGTTTTTTTGGGAGAAGTCTCCAGTCAGCATGCCACACATAGCTAATAGATATTGATCAGCTCAGTCACTTGAGTGGCAGGGCTGAGCATGGCATTCATGAAAGCCCTGGCGTTCACCATGGTGGTGAGCACCTTGTCAGTTTGCTCCAGTTTACTGGGCAGAATATTTCCCATGTGTGCTGTGATGGGGGAAAGAGCTGGAAAGCATGTGCCTTGTGGTAAGTTGGTGACCATGGTGTATTTCAGAAATAACATGGCAGGCTGGAAATGACCATCAGGGTTGTCTGGTTCAAACCTCCTTGTTTTACAGATTAGGAAACTGAAATCTAGCAAGGTAAACCTTCTGTAGAGTCCCACAGCTAATTAACAGCACAGCTGAAAGTAGACCTCAGGCCCTAGACTCCTTCCTAGCTGTCTTAGTGCATGGTGTGGAAATGTATCCAGTCTTTCACATGTCATCTTGTACTTTTTGTAATCTCCACCTAAAGTTGATGGGACAATCATTGAACCCAGTCATAGCTTTCAGTACCACCTTTTCCCCTTGGTAATCCTTTAGCTGACTTGCCTAGACAACTGTGTGTGAAGAGGTAGTTCTCTGGGGCCACACACTCCAGGAGGTAAAAGGCCTGGGGCAGGAGGGAGGCAGAAGGATCATTGGCAGCTGTATTCATCTTCATGTAGGTTTATTTTGTTACCCAAGAAAGCAACCATTTCCCCCTTTATTTACTGTATCCCACTTCCCTTCTTCTTCCCTCTTCCTCTCCCTGTCCCCATTTTTTCAACTGAGCAAAAAGAAAAGGTTTTAAGTTAGACCTTCAATGAAGATTTTCACATTTGGAAATTCATTTCCAAAAGTTTTGTTGAACAATATTAGTGATTGTTAAGGAAAAACTTTTCATCAAGCATGATCTGAATGAATCCTCCTTACAGATGTGAGATGGCAAGATTGATTTTCCTGATGTTTCTTCTGGTCTTGGATTTTTAATTACCTTGCATTCACTATCAAAATTAACCAAGTAAATATAAGTTTTTAGTTACTGGGGTTTTTGGGGGGTGGTAGTTTTTCTTGTCTTTTCTTTCTTTTTTTTTTTTTTTTTTGATGGGATTTCACTATGCTGCCTGGGCTGGCCTTGAATTCCTGGACTCAGTTGGTCTTCCTGCCTTGGCCCCCTGAGTTCTGGGACTAGAGGCACATACCACTGTGCCAAGCTCAATCAAATGTCCTTATCCCTGTCCTGAATAAGAATTGAACAGAGGAGCTCCCTTTGCTGATTGATCTGTGATTCCCAAATAAGAGTGAGTGTCAGTCTGTCTGATTAAGTATAACTGTATTATACTAAACACTATCTGTTTAAGTATACTATTTGACCTGAGCTACCTGATATGGACAGTTGTGTAGGAAGTAAGGATAACATGACATGGGCCATAGAAAAGCTGTCTTCTGAATCTAGTTCATTCACTGTCCTTATCTAGATTATTCACTTTATAAGCTGCTGAATGCATATTTCCATCACCTTTTTTAAGAAGAGATAGATGTACATGTGTTGAAGCATGAAAAGTCATTACTCTTCTTTGTGTTCAGCTGCTGCAGTTCCTTGCTGTAGTGACCCCTTCTGCCTTGACAGCACTTTTCTCTCCAAATGTGGCTTGACTCCTCAAAGTATTACGTATGGAGTCATCCTTTGTATACCTTTTCCTCTTTCATTTTAAGAAAAAGAGCAGGGGTTCCAAGTGTCCATCCCAGCCTAATCAATCACTGGTAGTTTATTGGCCAGTTGACTGAAGTCTTGACAAAGTGCTTTCTTTGTGCTTTTCTAGGATTGCAGGGATGATGTTGGTGGGGCTCAGAATGCTGGCATGCTGGGCATCTTAGTAAAAACTGGTATGTATCTTCTGTATATGCATAATTGCAGAAAGAACAGCCTGTGTAGAAATAGCAGAGCCTGGGCCCTTTAGTTCTCTTTGTACCATAAGGCAAAAATTAAATGGGATTAGGATTATAGGAAAGGCAGTGGGGGGATGTCTATGCTGTACAAAGCTAGGAAGATCTCGGCTAGAGGAACTGTAACACTTGCCTAGAAACAACCAACCATGGTTGGCATCTGGCCTTCTAAGGATTTCCTGGATATGCTGTTCACCACATAAGAATGGAACAAGGGACCAGTGATTGTGGTGCTTTGTAAAAATATCTCCTACTTTAGTGCTGGCCATAAGATGATAAAGTTGTTATGGTTTTTTTCAAGATGAGTTCTCATGAACATTTGGCCTCAAACCACGCTCCTCCTGATCTCTACCTCCTGAGTAGCTAGGTTTACCAGCACCTTGCAATATTTCCTTTCTTTAGCTCACATAACTAAAGATTTACACCAGCCACCCATACTGAACCTGTGCCATGTCATGAATGACCCATCTCCTTTAGCTGGTCTCCATGTGCTCTGCTTTCTTTATAACTGTGACTAGCCTAACTCAGAGACATCAGGTTAGTCTTAGAGAAACCAACAGCTTAAGAGTCACAGCTAACATGTGTAGTTAGTAAAGGAGGTGGGTCCCCCTCATGAAAACAGGCCCATTTGTGCTGTTGATCTTTGATCAGAAAAACTGAGAGGAAGTCCACCATTCTAAAAACGTGAGGAACATCCAGCTCCATTGATAAACTTTAACCCAGTGCAGGGAACAAGTGCCAGGCTTCCTGCCATTTAAAATTACTCTAACATTTTAGCTCATATTCAGTAATAAGTACTTTTTGTGGATCGTCTTGAGCAGTTTTGTTTCTCAGAGGTAGCACACAGTAGATGTTCAATGTACATTGCTCAGTTATTTGTTAATAAAGACTTCTGACTTGTTCCTAACCACAATTTCTGTTTAGTATTTGAAAGAGCCACCTAGAAAGAAATAGGATTTGTTCTTTGTCTGGTAGCATCAACATAACTTCCCTGTATTCTCCCTCTGCTCATTCCTTCCTATAAGAACTCATCTCCAACATAGTGCAAAGGTGTGGAAGGAGTGTTGGGATTTCAGGCTGTGTGTTTGCTGGGCAAAGCCTCCTAAAGAGTGAGTTGTAGAAAACAATGATACTGTTGTTGAGGGAGCTAGATTTAGGCAGAGAAGTCTGGAGAAAGCAGAAGAAAAAATATTAGAGATCACCAAAAAAAAGGATGAAGGAACAAAGAGAAAGGTAAGTGCAGAAGTAGCGCAGGGGTGCAGGACAAGTGGGCAGAGCACGTGCTGCATTTCCTCCTTCCTTCCTCTTATCCTCTCCTTTCGCTCCCCCCCCCCTTCCGTTCATTCTTTTTAAGAAGAAAACTTTAGGGAATGCTCACATGTGCTGATCGTGGTGTCGGGTCCTGGGAGTCCATAGCAATATATGAGACATAGTCCCTGCTTTTTGTTTTTGTGCTATTGGGGTTTGAACTCAGGGCCCACTTGCACCACACTTCTAGCCCAAACTTACACTTTTTAGGTGAGAGAGACACTGAACACATGCATAGTTAAAAATTGTTGGGAATGTTGTGGAGACAGAGAACAGAATGCTAGGAGAGAGAATAACAGGGAAGATTCTTTCTGAAGGACAGTGGGACCCCAGAAGGGTGATTAAACAGGGACCATGCCTTGTGATTTACATTTGTAAAAGCTATCTTGGTGGCCACTGTGTGGACTGGTTCCTCTGGGCTAGGATGTCTAGTTGTGTGCCAGACCCAGGAGCAGCAGGCTGCCTGGAGTCCCAGAGTCAAGAGAATTAGAGTGTGCCTGCCACTTTGTGCCTGGTATGCGGCCTTTCTTGCCTGGCCCTATGCCTAGGAGCCAGCGTCCATCACTCGCCCCTCCCCCAGGTGCCTGATTTGCCAAGCTTCCAGGATGCCTGTTTGGTAGTAGCACATGCTGTTTCCAGTCCTCAGCAGCCAAAGAGGCCCCTCTGGGGCTTGGGCTTCCTTTTAAAACACCATTCTTGTCTTTGGGGCTCAGGGTGGGGAAAAAATGGTTTCATCAGCTGTGATTTAAGAAAACCCTGTCAGGTTATCACTACCTATGACTGTTGTGAAAGACCAGAGGACCTGAGGAAAAGCTAAATGTTATATCCCTTTGCCTTGTTTTTTGCATCCTGAACCCTCCGTGAGAGGGAGGTGTGGGAGATGTGGAGACCCCCAATTCGTTCTAATTGTAAGGGTGAGCCTGTACCAGTCCAGGTGCTCCGGTGTGTGATCAACTTGGCCTGGTAGCCTGAGCCTTTATTCACTGACTTACCTTCATTTCAGGGAAATACCGAGCAGCAGATGAAGAAAAAATTAACCCAGCTCCCTACCTAACTTGTGAGAGCTTCCCTCGTGCTGTGGAGCACATTCTCCAGCATCTACTGTGAACCATCATGTGAATGTGAAGCACCCTGAAACACAGCTTCTGTTGTCTGGAACAGATCCTTACCGACTCTGTGCAGCATCAGTAGACACACACCACTCCCTTCTGGTCTCTGTTAACTCTTACTGTGCATTAGTTAGAAAGAAAGATATTGAATTGCAGCCAACATGAAGCCTCACTCTAATCCCTTTTGTTTGATTTTGTAAAAGAAGATGAGACCCAAAGAAAGGGAAAGCTGAGAATTTGTGCCATGGCTTTTCAAATATTCATCAGGTTCAAAAGGCTGGGAGGGAGAAGCTCCTGTGGGGAACAGCACTCGCTGCTGTCGCCTCACTGGAAACAGGGATTCAGACTGAAGGAAGTTGAATGATGATTCTTAAATCATAAAGTGTGCATTAAAAGGTGCATTAGGCTCTCATTTTGATATTGAGTTCATCTGAGAAACCCAGCACAAGTGCCAAGTGAAGTACAAGACAGAAGCAGTAAAACGGATTGTCCTTCAGCTCAAGTGACCCAGTGAATTTGCTTTAACAGATGTTGAAAACTAGATTTGCTATTGTATTCCCAGCACGGGTGACTTCCTTTTCTCTTCATTAGCCAGAGATGACTAATTTAAATTTAGAACTCGATTTTAATTTAAAATAATATTTCCATTAATAACCTATTCATTGCAGATACCTATTATACTGTGTAACAGTTGTTTTGGAAATTTTATGTAAAATTAAAACTATCAGTATTTTACAGATGTTTTAATTAGACATTGTTATTAACAGGAACAGTGCAGAAACTGAAATCAAGCCTTTAATGTCTTATAGCCCATGCATTTTTGAAGTTAGAGTCCACCAGGGTCCTATTAACTGTACATTTGCAAGATTTCATTATTTTTGCCTCTGACACTATGGGAAAAATCTTTAGAAGCTATTGGGACAGATTCAAGCTTTTATGTACTTGGTTACTACAGCTGTAAAATGAAATCTCATGTAGCATGGATTATTCTTCTGATGTTAAACCCACCCAAATGAAGGGGACTGAGTAGGTAATGATTTTCCTAGTGCATTTGCATACTGTGATAATCCTGGGCCTTCGCAATTGGTTTACAGGACTCTTGGGCATTGAATTATTAGAGTGTAATTGTACATCATTGCAGTGCTCACCTTATTGAAGCACACACTGGTGTTAATGAGCTTCGAGTTTTGATGCTTGTTTAGAGATCAGCTGGGTCTTGAATAAGAGGGAGCAAAGCTGAATAAATGGTAGTTTGGTGCGCACTCTGTTCTTGTTTTTGCAAATGCCCCAAATTAGTACGTACTTGTACATTCTAGACTGCAAAAGACAGATGTGACATGACCACCATCCTCAGTCAGAAGGAGGATGAGTCAGAGTGGCTGAGAGCAGAGTCCCTGATACCTGGCCAACAGGTATCTTTTTCTAACTGAAAAAGAGCAAGTCACCTTGCCTCTTACTACACAGTGCGATTGTGAGCCTTAAATGCATGAACCATATACTAAGTGCTTTAACTAGAAATCTGGAAAGGGCTGTCTTGGTGGAGGAAGTCTTCCTGAGCACGAGGAGATACCACTCTGCATTCAGACTTTCTCAGGACAAAGCTGCCTGTAGGCAGAAGCCCAGCGGGCCAGGTAGGAAGCACTGCTGGGGGCCGGTAGGTGGTCCACTTTCATTTTGGCCTATAACTTGGGTGAAAGGTCAGTGATTCTTTGCCCAGGAATTATATGTTTGCTAGTTTCTTCACACTAACGGCCATGCCAGCCCTGGTTATCGTGGGAAATGAGCATATAAGAAAAGGGTTTTGCCTCAAGAGCCTTTCTAGTTGAGGGGCCGAGGAGAATACATGAGACATTACTCAACTCCAGTATCCCCTCCAAAGCCTCCCCTGCCTGTGGGATGAAGGAAGTTATTGGCTTCTTTGTGTTCAGGTGGCCCTTGTTACATTGCACTTAGATCTTCACATGTCCCCTACCACCACTACCCCTCGAAATCAGGACTGAGTCATTCTTTTTGTGTTTACTTCAACACAGGTACTCACATGGTTAAAAACCCATAAAAAGCTAATTGTAAATATAGGAATTTAATGCTAGAAAGCTTAGGTATGGATAGGGAGGAAGATATTTCAAAGTTGCCGGGCAATGGTGACTCACACCTGTAATCCTAGCTACTTGGGAAGCAGAGATCAGGAGGATCATGGTTCGAAGCCAGCCTGGGCAAATAGTTTGCAAGACTTGAAAATAACCAACACAGGGCTGGTGGAGGACTGAAGTGGTAGAGTGCCTGTCTGGTAAGGCTAGCAAGTGTGAGGCCCTGACTTCAAATCCCAGGATCACTTTAAAAAGAAAAGAAATGTTAGACTGAGGTGTGGCTCAAGTGATAGAGCACCTGCTTTGCAAGCACAAAACCCTGAGTTCAAGCCCCACTCCCACCCAAAACAATCTAGGAAAAAAAAGTCGGTGTTGTTTTAAAGGTACCTAAAGGGGAGACCCACTACTTGGAAACAATGGATTTGACGCTGTAGACAGGTTAGAGCTAAAGCAAGGAAGCAGGCAATCACAGGAATGGGTGAGACCTCCTGAGCAAACATTCCCAGCCACCAGAAATGGCTTCTGTCCTTTCCTCCATTCCAAAGTGTCCCTGTGAGGGAGGCAAGTGACAGGGTAAGGGGGGCGGGAATTGCCATGAGACTCAATCCTCCTCGTCCCTGCCTAGTGCCATACTTGGACATCCCCTTTTATGGTCAGGATTGCAGTTGTAAATTCCTGTACAGTTGTACAGACGAGGGAGTCTCTCGGCCTGGTCAAACCCGATAATGGCGCATGCCTAGTAAAGGGAAACCTGTCCTCAACCTGACCTCTCAGGTCAAGCCCTCTACTTAAGGCCTTAGGAATATCGATCACATATCATACATACAGTTAACCTGGTAATCAGCATAAGCACATGCGCAGAATGCCCCGTGTTGTATAACAAGCCCTTCTCAATGAAACTAGTCAGTAATCCCAGTCCCTCCTACAAAGACTGCCCAGATGTTTCCCAGTGTTTGCCCTTAACAAAGAAATCAGGGCTCCTGAGCCATCTGGCCAGAGCCCATTGCACCCTTGTGGTGGTCTTTGTACCTACACTTTCTCTTTCGATAAAACTTTTCTCCTGCTTTGCAGTCTGTGCCTCTGTCCAATTCTTTCTTTGAAAGAAGCAAGGAACTGAGATCTTGATCAGAGGTTTTGTGAGGGCCATGGAAATCTTAGTTTGAAATACTTGTTTATCAAACATTAGTGCTTGCTAACTGACTGCCAAGAGAGGCCCATAAAGGTAACCAAAAATCTTGTCTTAAGGCCAGGTGTGGTGTCTCATACCTGTAATCCCAGGTATGCAAGAGATGGAGACTAGGGGGATCGTAATTGGAGGCCGGCCCAGGCAAAAAAGTTAATGAGACCCTATTTCAAAAAAACAAGCTAGGCACAGTGGTGCCCACCTGGGAGCCCAGCTATGAAACAAGTGGATCTCAATCTGAGGCCATCCCTGGGCAAAAACAGTGAGACCCTACCAGAAAAACCAAAACAGTCCAGGATGGTGGCTCACACTTGTAATTTTAGCTACCCAGGAGGCAGAAATGGGGAATTTTGAGGTCTGAAGCCTCAGCGAAAAGTTTGCGAGACACCATCTCAACCAATAAAAAGCTAGGCCTGGGGGCATGCATCTGTCATCCCAGCAACATGGGAAACAAATAGGAGGATCACAGTCCAGGCAGACCCAGGCATGAAAGTGAGACCTACCAGGAAAATAAAGCAAAAAGGGCTGGGGGCATGGCTCAACTGCTAGAGCACCTGCTGAATAAGTACAAGGCCCTGAGTTCAAGTCACAGTACCGCCAAAAACATTAAAACAAAAAGAGCTGGAGGTATAGCTTGAGGTCCTGAGGTCAAACCCCAATAAGTGCCAACAACTTTTTTTTAATATCTCGTCAGATTAAAGTTGCTGTAAACACTCTGATAAATGTTAGTTTCAGCTGATTAGTCTTGGGTTTCATAGAGGAAATGTAGTTATAAATATCTAAGTGGCTTCCTTTTATAGCCAGCCCATAACTAAAGGGTTACAGTTTTACTATAATCTTGTTCTGGGACAGAAAAGGGACCAAGTGACACGTTTGGACTAGAGAGGTTATGAGAGGACACTGTTGTCACCAGCTGTTGAGCATCTGCTGTCAGCTGGTGCGTGTGCAGTGTGGAGGAGCATGGGGTCACTCAGATAGAGCCAGAGGGGGCTTCCACTGGCTTCTCCTGCACCTCCAGTGGCTCCACCTCCCTGCCATTCTCCATCTGCCAGACCTGATGGTAATGGCTAGGCAAGGAAAGGGGACCACCCCACTCTTAACTGATGGTTCCACCAAATTCTGCCTATAGCTGTGATGTCAGAAATCTCCTTGGAACGATAGTGTTGCCATTTCATCTTTAATTGGACATTTTAAAACTTCAGTAACCTGTTGGACAAGAAGTTAGAAAAACACCTGCATTTATTGTGTTCAGTTGGGTTTAGACCCGTGGTTCATGTAGGATGAAATTAATATCCTTGGGCACCTATAATAAAGAATTATTAAAACTGCATTCATCTATTTCACTAACACACTGCCTCAAGTAATTGAATCCTTTTTTTCCTATTAGCAGTCATTTGCATCAGGCTATGTTTGCATTAACATGTTTGTTTGGTGTCAGTTACAAAGATCTTCCCCACCATAGATGCTCAAAGCCGTCGCTGACTTTTGCGTGATACTGCCATCAAGGCATAGCGTCTGGAAGCGTGTTGCTGTCTTTAGGGCAGTAATGAGGCACCAAAACTCATGTACCATTGCATAAACTGTATATCTCAGTGTTGAATATCTGACTTTTCCAGTGCTTACATTCATGTTATACACATCTAAACTTTCACTTGCTGATGTCCCTGAGAAAATCATATTTATTAAATGTTTACTGTAACTAAAGCATAAGGAAGAAAAGCAGATGTAAACCTGCTCCTGTGATGCTTATCTCCAAGTTGGGAAATTGGTGCATCTAAAAATATATCTAGCAATACAAAGGCTCTGACAAGTTCAAAGCGGTTGTGTACATCCTCTAAGGGACAAGATCATGTGTTGTAAGCTAAAGGCTTGGGAACAATAGTCACAACTAATGAGACAAATGCAGTCTCAGCCTTGGGCCTGTGCATCGGCTGGGACTGTGGCTCAAGTGGTAGAGCACTGCCTGGCAAGCCAGAGGCCCCGAGTTCAAACTCCAGAACCACCACAAAAAAAAAAAAAAGACAATGTTCATTCAAAAGCAATGAAATACTTGAAAGAGAGTATTGATAACTAAAACCACCACAAAGAGTATTCACCCAAAATTCAACCTGCAGGAGAACCTGAAAGACTTGAATCTTAGAGACACCAGGTAGAGAGGAATGAGGTAAGAGGCAGGGTTGAAAGTGAAGAATTGGTTAAAGATTAGTTAACAGATTAGTTGTGGTTGGTTAATTGTAGTTGCAGTCCCAGAAACCCTGGTAGCAAACAGATGACCACTCTTAGCTAAGACTGGAGAATTGATGTTTCCAATTTCTGGAAAAACGGAACCATAAAAGTTAAGGCCTTGGAAACACTGGGCCTGTGGTAATGCTGAAAATAGGAACTAGGTACAAATCTACTTATTCTACAGTGGCCCTTTGGTCACCTTCCCATAATACACCAGAATCAGAGGCAGTAGGGAGGGAACTGAAAGTTTATCCAATAAAACTCAGCATCCCTCCATGATAAAAGCCCTGAACAAATTAGGAAAAGAAGGGTCATACCTCAACATAATAAAGGGGGCTATATATGATAAACACACACACAAAGAGGAAAAGGCTATTTGATATGTTGGATCACTTAGAAAAGAATACTAATGGGTATTTGACAGATTTGAGAATGTGTTGCAAAAAAAAATGAATAAATAAATAATAATACTCAGAAAATCTTTTTCTCCTAAATGAAGATAACAGTTCACAAATGAGAAACACAACAGGAAACTGTTCATCAAAATTTTATGGAGTCTAATTCTGAGGCATCTCCATTGCCTGACCTCAGCGCACATGTACACACAGCTGAAAACTTCAACATTTTTCTGACATCGGTGATGAAGAATTAATGAAAATGCTTCATTTCAATAAAAGTTGTCCAAATTAATCCAGTGTTGAAGAATAATTTTCTCTTCCAATCACCATGTTCCTTTCCCACTTATGCTAACACCTAGGAGGCCTCTGCATCTGCCTCCAGCCAGGACAGGTAAGTGTGCTTTCAAACAGACTCGAACTCTCTTTGCCAGGCCGAGTATCTCTCAGTCAGATTCTTTGCTGAAGGCTTGGTGTGAGCTAGCACATCCAAAAAGTCAGCTGTGGTCACTATATCCAACTGGATCCCAGATAAATTTCTGCTCTCTAGATAAAAACACAACAGCACAGCAATCGACCTCGTGATGATCAATGCTCTTGAAAGGCTAACAGACCTCCTTACAATGCAATGCATAATGCAGCATTCTTAATGGTTAATGCAGCACGGAGGCAAGAAGAAAAGGGATATGGGAAGAATTATTTAATGTGCAACTGAGTTAGTCCCTGAAGCCCAGACCACGCCCTCAAAGTGACTTAAACGTATCATTTTCAAAGTATTGTTTAATATTTATATAGTGCCTCAAATGGATCCAGCCCAACATAAGCATGTGCCAGAGAAATAAAGTTCCAAACCCTAAGGAGTTTATCATCCGTGGGCAAGGGTGATCCAAAACAACAGCAGAGGAGGCCAGGGTTGAGTGCATGGGGGATGATTTGACCAGAGAACTTGCAGCAAGTATGAAGGGCTGCCAAAACCAGGCACCAGGCTCCATCTGCTGGTGAGAGTTGGAGTTTTAAACACAAATTTCTCTCTCAGAGCACCTTCACTGCCACACCACACATACCTGACTGGTGATTTTCAAGAGCACTGAAGATCTTCCTCACTGGCCGCATGGCTGCTTCCCTGCAGACTAACTTAATGTCTGAGCCCGAGTAGCCATCTGTCTCCTGAAACAGCCAGGAACCAGCTATCAGTCAGCAGGGACAATTTGGTGGCCATTACCTTGACAAGCAGGTCCAGAATCAGAGCCCTGGCTTAGATTCCATATATGTCACCCATGAACATTGTACAAAGATTCCCAGGTAGCTAATGCTGGAGGGAGAGGGGCTGCCAGGGAGCCTGGAAAACCTAGATCGCTGGGCAACGATTTCCTCACACCATCCAAATCTGTTGTAAGATGCCAGTGGAGGGACTGGACCACCCAAGTTACTCTAATCAAACTTGGCAGACACTTTTGTTCTTGTTAAAAGATCTTTGAGGACCTCAGAGAAGATCAAGTTCAAGTATCCATGCAAGACAGATAATGTGTACGTGATGCCCTGGGAATGGATGCCAGTGATAATGGGGGAAAACAGATCTGGCCCTAGAGTTTAGAAACACTCACCTAGTCATCACGATAATCCTCTGTGCCTAGCTGCTGCCCATTTTACATATGGCGAAGCCAAGCTCAGAGGGTGAGTCCCTGAGATCCCACAGCTACTAAGCAGCAGGGCCAGGATTTGACCTCCTGCTATTTCCTCTGGCTCCCACTGTTTCTGTCTGAATGTTTCCTGGTGACCAGGAGCTCATTCTTTCATGAAGAAGAGGCCCATTGCAGTGCTGGGGCAGCTTGGGTCTTTTCCAGGTCTCAAGGAAGCAGCTCTTTACAAGACCCTTTCTTAGACTGGCATATGCTGAACCAGTGGCCCACACATGCCTCCTTCCAGGACATCCCACCTGACTCAGGACATCGTACTCCAGCTTTGTGTGCAGCTCCAAGGCTTGGCTCTTGCTCACAGGGGGCAGCCAGTGGTGGATCATGGCTTTCCTGGCCTCTTGGCTGGGGAGATCAACAAGAATCCTCTTTTCCAAGCGCCGCAACATGGCACAGTCCAGCTCCCTGAAATCACAACAGAAACAGGAACTGGAGGGGGCAGCAAAGGTAGTGCTTAAGCAACAGCTATATTTTAAGAACAACTTAGCATTACAGGGAGCAATTCTGCACTTTAACTGTCAATGTTCATTTTTGCCTGAGTAGATAGGAGAATGACTCCATATTGTTCAGAGTAACAATGGGGGCGCGGAGAGAAGGAAGGAGGAAAGAAGGAAGGATGGGAGGGAAGAAAGCAGGAAGGGAGGGAGGGAGGGAGGGAGGGAGAGAAAGAGGGAAGAAAGTGCTCTCAAAACTCTTTGTGCAAAGGAGATAATTTTAGATGTCAGCAAAGCAAGGAAACCCAACTAACAATAACTGAGCCTACAAGTATCTTATTGCAAATGTAACATGAATTACTGACTCATCTTGCCAGTGAGCACATTATTTCTGACAACACTTGGGTATGCTGGGAAGTACATTCACTTCTAGAAATTCATCCTACCTGAAGTAAATGACCACCTCACCGCATGGCTCCACTGAACCCAGAACCAACACACTCCTTCCTGGGTTCCCAATGCTGTGTGGGCCTTTGAGACAGTCATGCATGCTTCTGTCAGGCCATATGCATTCTTACATTTATGAGCTATGTTCCTAAACTTCTTAATATTAAAATGTCAAGCAAATAGGAAAACAGAATAAAGCAATGAATATTTATACACCTGACATCTTGATTCAACAGTTAACATTTTGCCACATCTGCTTCATATATGTATTTATCTGTCTACCCTCACTAATTTTTTCGAAGTAAATTACATCACAAAACCTACCCCTAAATCTTTAGCATATGGTTCTCAGAAAAGACATTTTCTTATCATTATGACACCTGGGAAAATTGACACCCATTCCATAAGATGTCTAATACTCAGTCCATCTTGGGATTTCTCTAATCCTTTCAAAAATATTTTTATAGTTTTTCCAACCTAAGTTCAAAGAAAATGTATTGCATATGGTCGTGTCTCTTAAATCTCTTTTAATCTAACCCAATCGCTTTGCCCTGGCCCCTTTAAAAAAAAAAGACATTGTAGAATGTCTCAGATTATGGATTCATCTGTTGTTTTCCTTCTGGTAGCAGGCAAATGGCTCCTCTGCTACCTGTCCTCCAAGATGGAAGTTAGATCTAATAGCTTAGGTTCAGGATAAATATTTTTGGCAAGTAACTTTCTTAGGTGATATATTTTCATGTTACATCACATTAGGGTCTGCATGTCCATGGATGTCAGTGTCAGTTATGCTGCGTTCCATCACTAAGATCCTCTGGTCACTCTGGAACTCTCCATTGTAAAGGAAACATCTTCTGGCAATACTGAGTGCTCTGTGTGCAAGACTTTTGACACCACCTGAATACCCAGTTCTCCATCCTCTTTCAACTAGTGACTTTAGCATCAGCTAATGATTTTTGTTTGAAGGAATTGTTTCATGAGAATGACAATTTCATTTTTTTTTCATTCCAAATGTACTATTTGGAGCCATTATGGCTTTATGAAGCACCATTATGTAAATTAGAGCTTTTCCTTGTCAGCTGGAGCAATTAGTTATGCTGGATCACCATTCTTACTATTAATAGTTCATTTTGAGTTTGTCTGTGAACTCTTTATATACTAAATTTTCAAACTCCTCAAAGTGGGGAGACACCTGCTTTCCTAGGATAGAAATTAGGAAATGCCTGCATGTTGATCAGGCTTAACCCTTGGTAAAGAGTAACAATGAAGCCAGACCAAGTGGTGCACGCACACCTGTAATCCCAGAAGCAGAGGCAGGAGGATTGCCAAGTTTGAGGTCAGCCTGGGCTACACACCATTACTTTCTCAAGTCCCCCACCACTACCAAAAGAAGGAGTAACAATGAAAACATCACCAGATACTTCTTTCTTAATGATGCTGACACTGTCCAAACTCTCCTATTTTCTTACTCTCGTGCTAAATCTATGTCATGGTATTTCCTTTTCAGTTGGAAAATGGAAACACAGCTTCCAGGGTACATATCCAAATTCTAAATCAGAGTCAGCAGAATTCTCAAAAGATTGTGTCTTTTCTTCACTTTTTTTGCCTCCAACCCTGAACCATAGTCCAGAGGTTTCCTAGTAAATTAACCACTTTCTTTTTTCCATGTTTGCTTTGTTCTTCCTCAGCCTCAACCTGTTGAAATTCTCACATTCAAGACGAAGCCATTCTTCCCTGCAAAAGTGTTCCCTCTCTCAAGGCCAACATGTATATTCAAGGAGAAGAAAAAAGCACCTTGCTTCATAGCACAACTTCACTAGCACCCCAGTTCATGATGTGTTTGTCTTTTCCTTGACGCTTCCTCAGTTACCCTGCCATTCCAGTTGTTCAATGTTTTGAAATCACCTCTGCACATAACCATCAAAGATATGCTGTTCTTCATGCCGAAGGACATGCCAACAGAAGGCCACCTGCATTATTAAGGCCAAGATAAAAACACTCATTGTTGATGAACTTTAATGTAACTAAGACTGTACTTAAACTAGGGGAAGGGGCCATAGCCACCTCAGCTTCCTCCTGTAACCCCAACATAGAAGGGATCTGTAATTGGCATAAACCTACCAAACCAAGGAGAAAAGGAAAATTTTAAGGCTGAGGCTTGGACATAGCTCAGTGGTAGAGCGCTTGCCTAGCATGCACGAGGCCCTGGGTTCGAGCCCATCACCAAAAGCGAAAAGACAAAAAAATTTTTTTTAAGGCTGGCAAATATAATGATGAGTAAAAACCAACTTAGGAGACCTGGAAGCTGCTTTCTAATTAATCAGCAAAGAAAGTCAAGAAACATTCCGACCTGAATCTCAAAATCCCAGTGGGATTTAGGTTTGGTTGTATCTCCTACCTTAAGTGTTGAGGTGAAGGTAGGCTGATGATAGGGGAGGGTTGAAAGTTTGCATAAGGAACAGTTAGATCACAGATTTCCTCCTCTCCTCCTTATAGCACTGGCCGCCTCCCCGACACCCTGGCAGAGGGCCTGTGCACTGGAAACACCAGGCACAGTAGAGAACAGTGGGTTGTACTGAAAACAGGAGGAAAGCAGGAAGTCTTATTCACTAAACAATGAGACACCAGCTTTCTACCCCTGGAATATTGGCAGCCACGCTCTTGTCCTTCAGAGATTGCAAGAATTTTCATTTAGTAGTTTGAACAGCCAGAGGGAAAGACTGTCAAACTCCTAGAGATAGAGCCCACAATTGACAAGAGCTTCCTCACACAGAACTTCAGAACTGCCCAAGTTTTTTGTTTTTTTTTTGGAGGCGGGGGGGGGGGT